CTGCGGCGCTCAGCCGCTCTCCAGCACCCCTGAAGGAGTTGTCCTTGGGTGTCTTTGCCTCTCACTTCAAGTGCTGGGGCACAGAAGTGCCCAGCAGACCCTAAACCAGGCTGGCCCCCGGCAGGGCCGCAGAGCAGAGGGGTGGGACGTGGAGCGGGGAGATGCCAGCCTGGCAGGAGGGCAGCACTCCTCTCGCATCCAAACCTGGGAGACCCACCCAGTGGCTTCCAACCTGCCCAACCCATCCTGGGTACTCTTGTGTCTGGAAAAGACCAAAACTTGTCGGGGTGCAGGGCTCAGAAAGGGATTCTGGAACACGAGAAACTGCCTGTAGCATGAGTTCGGCTAGAGAGACGTGGCGCTGAAGAGCGGCAGCCAGCGAGGTGCGATCACTTGACACCGCACACCCCCCGTAACCCAAGACGGGCTTCGGCGCGGTAACCGGACACGGGGCACTCGCACAAAGAGAAGAGCCATTCCCACCCACCCGGCGTGGCCCTGGACCAGCACCGCCCGCCTGGGGAGCGAGACTCCACCGGCAGAGGCTTGGCAGAGAACGCTGGCCCTGGCTAGGCAGAATACACCGATGGCGAAGGAGTAAATGATGTTTAACGGTCACAAACCAACTCCTGGGGTCTCCACAGACCTCCCTTGTCTCCCCAGGGGCCCTCCAGCCCCCAGCCACAGGGGGAGGTCTCCGAGATGAGACCCACCAGCCCCCAGCACGGCCCCCAGCCTCTCATTCCTTGCCGCCGGCTCTCCCGTGCCCTTGCTCGCGCCCTGGGTGGGCAGAGCACGAAGCAGGGTCTCGGGGTCACTGCTGTGAGATCCCCATCACAGGCCACAGCTGTGCCAACTCACAAATATCTCCAAGAGGAGAAAGACAGAAACACTGACTCCAGATGGTCTTGCTTTCCCAAAGCTGCGTTGTAAGTGTGCATTTGCTACTGATGGCTCGGCACGATGACCAGCAAAAGGGTCTTTATTTACTCTTAGTTACTGGCTGCCCAAACCATGACCTTGTTAATTATTTCAGCTGGGGGCCACGTGGCAGTCACACAGTTATCAATGGGAGCACTGAGGTGCTGTTCCTTCCCCACAGCTCTCCATAAGAGGGTTTGTACGTGGATTTAACACATGCTGCAACTGTCTACAAGACACAACCCTGGCAGGAGTGGTGGCTAGAAACAGAGCTTGCTCAGCGACACAGCTGGGCCAAGACGACCATGTGCATGCCTAAACCCAAGGGGACCAAAAAAAAAACAAAAAGGGAAACATCATTATGAGTTTTTTTGGTCCTCAAGTAAAGGAAATTCATCATAGAATCATAGAAAGTTTTGGGTTGGAAGGGACCCCTGGAGGTCACCCAGTCCAACCCCCCCGCGGTGAGCAGGGACACCGCTAACGAGATCAGGTTCCTCAGAGCTCTGTCCAACCTGGTCTTGAATGTTTCCAGGGATGGGGGCTCCACTACCTCTCTGGGCAACCCGTTCCAGTGTTTCACCACCCTCATTGTAAAGAATTTCTTTCTTATTTCCAGCCTAAACCTACCCTGTTTTAGTTTAAAACCATTACCCCTCGTCCTGTCCCTGCTGTCCCTACTAAAAAGATTGTCCCCATCTTTCCTATTGGCTCCCTTTAAGTACTGAAAGGCTATTTATTTAATTAAAATCAAAGTCCCCCCAGTCTTACTAAATGTATTCTGACATTCAAAAAATGTCATTACCAGCGATGGGAAGTTCAGAAAACAACACTTTGGATGGTTTGATGGAAAATAATTTGGCATATTTCTTCCAGCTCTGGTTGTAAAGGAAAAAAAAAGTAACACCTCTGCCCATGAGCTTCCCCTGGAGCTCCTCACTACTCCAGCTGTCTTCCTCTGAGCAGCCCCTGGGTGCCTGCCCCGCGGACAGTCCGGACACAAACACGCAGTATTCCTGCACGTACTCAGTCCTTGCACAACCCGGGACGTGGGTCAGGTTTTTATTTGCTCTTCTAGAGTGGGCCGTGTCTTCAGCTAATAAAACAGGAATGCGAGCACTTGGGTCGGAGCTAGTGGTAAATATTAAGCGTGCCGAGGAGGAATTCGGCCTCGTGACACCTACGAGCAGCTGGACACACTATCAGCAAAGCAGCTCCCTGCTGCCACAGCCCATTGATGCCTCTGGCTGCCCCCGACCTCAATGAGAGCCTTTTCATTCACTTCAAGAGCTTCCAGCTCACGCACTAACGTGCCACCCATGGGCGACAGCCGCCCCATGCAGAGATTCCCAGCGTCACAGCCGCCGGACACAGACAAGCTCTGGCAGTTCAGAAAATACCGTGGTGCTAACAGGAAAACCAGGGAGCTCGATGCTTCACAAGAAGCTGCAAAGATGCTTCCAAAAACCCTCTCTCCCCGCACCAGCTGGCCATGGGGACCCCCAGGCAGGGCAGCCTCTGCAGCAGCAAGGTACGGACCTGCAGATGCCTCCGTGTCGGGAGCTCAGACGCAGCGGGTCCGGGCAGTGCCCAAAACCAGATCCTAGAGTAACCCTGCAGAACCTGGAGTATCCTCCCCCTTGGCGAGGAAGCAGGGACCTGTCGGATCAGCAGAGCTGTGCTACCGCAGACGCGTGGTCAGGCTGCCAGGCCAGATCTGGCCCCGTGCTCAGACCCTGGGAATGGATGCTGTTCCATAAGGCTGATTTATAACGCAGGCCCGGCAAATTTGCGTCGTTGTCGCGAGCGCAGAGGCATTTGCTGCTCTGTTTCTGCTCTGGAGGGCTGTGTCCCGACCTGTTGGTTTGGCGCAAAGACGAGCTCATGCTACGCTGGCAGCTTACTATAAACAGCGTGTGCACTGCTAGATAATGTATGGATAATAGAAAGAATTGGCAAGCTCCAGAAGGCAACAGCCAGGGCTTTCCTCAGCTGTTCACAGAATCACAGAATCACAGAATAGTAGGGGTTGGAAGGGACCTCTGGGGTCACCCAGTCCAACCCCCTGC